ATTCGTAAAAAGTCGTAGTAAAGTAAAGTAAAAATATCAGAAAAATCTACTTGAGTACAGTAACTAAGTATTTATACTTCGTTACTTCCCATCTCTGAAGGACAGTAAATAAATCAAACTGTGGGCGTGATAGTGATGGATTATAATCAACCAATCAACAGACATGCAGGTTTGTTTGTAAACATGACAAATCAAGCAATACAAAGAGACAAATGGTAGTTTATTCTATAATGGTTTTATCTGTAGAAAGATGGCAAAAAAAGTGAAAAGCATGTTGCAGCATCCTCTTTCACTTCACAGGAGTAGAAATAAAAAAAAATAAAATGGAAACAGGCTGCATGCTATCCTCTGAGGGGTGGGGGGGTCCTCCTGTTCTGTAGCTACCTGAAACCACAGCTGTCTTTGGGGGTAAGTCAGACGGGTTCAATCTGCAGAGCGGATCACAAAGACGAGCTCAGTCAGAGCTTTGTTGTTCAACTCCTCCCACGGGAGCAGAGAGCAGAGCACAATGTTGCCGTTTTTCTTCCCTTACATCAGATAAAAACTCAGATCCCTCCCTCCTCATGGCCGGGCCTACAGCTCTTTAAACGCTGGCATGAAGGCCCAACAAAAGGTCCACAGCAGCAAGCGGCTAGGAGGGGAAAAACAACCAGAACCCTTTCATTTAAAACCAGAGTTACTCCACAGCCCTGCAGAACAGAGTGGAGGAGCAAACCTCAACCAGTCAGAAGTCTTATCTGCACGTCGGAGACCCGGCGAGCACAGATACCATGTCTGACTTCCTGTACAGAACCTGTGATAAACAGCAGAACAGAAGATTGTTTTAAAAAGATAACGGTTCAACAAGGCGTGGAAGCCGTTGTCTGCTCCTCCATCTGAAAGCATGAACACCCGACCCAGCTGGATCTCTGTGGAGACGACATGGAGGCAACGAGGTGGATTAACTGGAGGGAAACATGTTTTTCCCAAATGAAATATATACAAATATACGATAAGAGCACAGACGGCTATAAAAAATAAATCAAGGCACTAAGATGGATGACAGGTTATAATAAAAATGTATGCAGTCATTAAAATAATCCCACTTCTGTATAAAAGAGCCATAATTTCATATTCAAAGTATTTCCAGAATTTCCAGACTTTTCCTTTGAAGCATCTCTAAAGAAAATATGTATTTAAATCAAATCTGTCAGAATACCTGTTCTAAAAAAAATTTAAAACATCCAAAAATAAAGGGATTTTTTTAGTGTTACCAAAATAGTAGCAGGTCAAATTCTGGTCTAAATGTTTTTTAATATTGCGTCATGATAATGCAGCTGTGTTGGGCAGCTCAAAATATAAGTAACAACTGATCTAATGTCTGAAATAACGTCTGTTGGATGACGTCTCCCACTCCATGCATGAAGCTGGTGCTGAACTGGACAGCTCCTTCAGTGACAGACAGCTGCACCTTAAATGCACCAGGGAGCGTTATCGCAGATCCTTCCTCCCAGCAGCTGGAAGACTCTAGAACCACCACTGTTCCCAACAACCTCAACCAGTTTTTACATTCATGCTTATTTTGCAGTTTCTACCTTAGTCAGTTAAATAACCTGCTGCTGTCATTCTGCACATCTCTGACGTTGCTGCTATTTTCAAATATCCATTACTGTAAAAAATGTCTATAGCTGTATACTGTTATTTTTCTCCAGGTCCACAGTTTTATATTGTTAAAACACTTTACAGTACAGTATTTTTCTTTTATCTTTTAACTCTTCACCATTATTTTATTTTTTAAGGCCCACATTTGTTTGATTATTTTTTTCTAATCTTTTTGCTGCTGTAAACACCAGAATTTCCCTATTGTGAGACAATAAAGGGATTTTCTATTTCTATTACGTTCAGTTGTTACTCATATTTTGAGTACAATACAACTAATATGTTATTGACAGGTACAAATTTTAAATCTACAGCTTATTTTCACTCCTTTTTACTCATGATAAATGCTTTTGTTGCACTGACTTTCAAATCAATGCAACAATTAAAATATTGAAAACTCATAAAGTGGCGCATTAGTGAAAAACACAGCTTAGGTTAA